CCACACACACTTAAGCTCTGTAACCTCCAGGATTAAATACAAAATCTTCTGTTTGGTAGTCAAAGCACTTGGTAACCTTCTCCACACCTCCTTCTACACCTTACTCCTCCACAGTTACTGGATCCAGTGACACTGATCCCCTTCCTGTTCCACAAATAGTACATTCCATCTCTCCACTCTGGCTTAGGCATTTTCTCTGATGCCCCCCCCCATGCTTCAAATACTCTTCCACCTTATCTCTGCTTCCTGACTTCCCTTTAAGTCCCAACTGAAATCCCATCTTCTCCAGGAACCCTTTTCCAACCCCTCTTAATTATAGTGCCTTCTCTCTTTTAATTATATCTGATTTATTCTAAATGCAGCTTGTTCGTATATACTTATTTGCTTATTGTGTTCCCCATTAGGTAAGCTTTTGAGGGCAGGAGTGTTCTTTGCCTCTTTTTGTACCCACAGCTTTCCACGGTGCCTGGCCTGTAGCCAGTGTTTAATAAACGCTTATTGACTAACTGAGTATACACTACACAAGTCAATATGTCTAGAACAAAACATAAAATCATGGATTTAGAAGCAGAAGGTATCTTAGACACCATGTGGTCTAAAATCCTCATTTTGCAGATGAGAAAACTGAGATCAAAAAAGGGCAAGTGAATTTCCCAAGGTTACATGGGTAGAAAGTAGTAGAACTGAGATTTTAAACCAAGCCCTTTGAGTTTGGTCTATTTTCTTCTATACCATATCACCCACAAGTGTTCCAATTCCATGATGTAGAACAGTAGGCTTTAAAATGGGAAAACCTTTGGGTGTCTATGACTCACCTCCAATGAAGCTGGGTCTTGCTCCCATGAGGGGTATGATTAGCTAATTGGTAGTGGGGAAGATTGGTTGTCTCTGACCTTTCCTGCCACCGTCAGTCATAGTGCCCCTAGCTCAACCACACCTACCCTAATCTTCCCAACACTCCCCTACCCTCCCTACTCCCTCCACTGACCAAGTTCCTGATTTCCCCCATTCTGACATGAGTGTTGGTCCCTTGAGGCAGTTATAACTTAGCCTCTACCTGGGTACCCACAGAAACAGCTACTCAAGTGTCATCTGGAAAATTCTACCACTTCTTTTTTTTTTTTTTTTGGCAAGGCAATCAGGGTTAAATGACCTGCTCCAGGTCACACAGCTAGTACTTGTCAAGTGTTTGGTCTGAGGCCAGATTTGAACTCAGGTCTTCCTGACTTCAGGGCCAGTGCTCTATCCACTGTGCCACCTAGCTGCCCCAATTCTACCACTTCTAGAATTCCCGTGCCCTGCCCTCCAGATCATCTGCTAGCAATAGCAGGCATCTTTAGGAGGGTGAGCTCTGAGCTCTGGGGTGGTGACTGGTAAATAAGACTGCCTCACTTTTCATTTTGGGTTGCACTGAGTCTCAAAGGATGATCTTGCATAGATGGGTTGTGATCTGCATTGCCAATATCATTACATTATCTTTTCCCCAATTCTACCCTTCTTTCCTGTTTCTATTGAAGCAATACTACCTTTCCAGTCACCTAGCTTGAAAATCTTTATCTCTTACTTCCATCCTAGCTGCCTACAAACATGCCCAGGTCTCCCATGTGTTCAGGCTATTATCTTGTGTTTACCTTTCCTTCACAGTCAAAACTCCAGAAAAAGTCACCTATACTTGTTGCTTTCACTTCCTTACTTTTCAGTCACTTCACAATCCCTTTTAGTCTGACTTCTGACTTCACCACTTGACTGAAACTGACTGCTCCAAAGTTATCAATGATCTTTTAACTGCTAGCTCCAATGGTGTTTTCTCAGTCTTCATCTTTCTTCTCCTCTGACCACTAGTTTTCCATGTCCTTTGCTGGATCATCATCCATTTTTCTGCCCTCTAATTGTGGATATATCTCAAGGCTCTGTTCTGAATTTCTTTTCTCTTTATACGCTTCCCCTTGGTTATCTCATCAGTTCTCATGGGTCCAATTATAATGGACCATGCAGATGATTACAAAATCTATTTATCCACTGTAATCTCTCTCTTATGCAGCACAGTATTACCAACTGCCTGCCAGCTATATCTACTAAGATGACCTATAAACATCTCAAACTCTAAATCCAAAATGAAACTTATTAGATTTCCCTTAAAACTCATCCCTCCCCCCCAACACTTTTCAATTTCTAATGAGAGTACAAAAGTCCTTCTAGTCACCCAGGCTCACAACCTTGGAGCCATCCTGGATTCTTTACTCTCCTTCAACTCCTATATTTAATGACTTGTCAAGTCATGTCATACATGCCTCCATAACATATCTTGTGGCTGTCCTTGTCATTCCACTTACATATCCAGGAGAGAGCAGATGCTGAGGAAATAGAAGACATGAGTGAAGCTTTTCTAGAGCTTTATCCATGAATGAGAGAAGAGCCCTATAATGGTAGCTAGAAGGGAGATCCTCTGCATGTCAAAGCAAATAGTCCTGTCCAAATTTTAATGGATCAAATTAATTCTGAGTTCTGTTTCTTTACCCCTTACTTCCCCTTCTATATATATGAAAGCCAAGTGGAGTCTTAGGATGAGTCCTGACAAAGGGTAAGGAGATAACAGTTCAGGCTCAGAAAAAGTAAGAGGGTAGGAGTGGAGAGGTAAATCTATTAGATCTAGGGAGGGAAAAAATGGCTTCTTGTTAGAGTGGGGCTGTCATGAGTGACTCCAAAGAGGGTCTAAAATACCAGACTAAGGCATTTGAATTCTAATTATAAAATTTTAAAACATGAAATTAGATGATTTCTCCCAGGGCCAGTATCAGTTGTATAGAGAAAAGAGTAGGGGGTCATAGATTGAACTTTAGGGAACATGGATATCTAGGTAACAGGAGAATGACAAAGATCTAAGAGAAGTTTTTATTAAGATATTATGAAAAGATGAACAACTTTGAAAGACCCAAGAACTCTGATAAATGCAATGACCAGCTATAATTTCAGAGGACCAATGATGAAGAATGCTATCCTCTTCTTGACAGAGAGGCAATAGGTTCATGATACAGAATTCAACTTAGGGTTTTGGACATGATCAATGGAGGAATTTGTTTTGCTTAACTATGCATATTAGTTACAAGTGTTTTTTGTTTTTTTTTCAATAGGGAGCAGTTGGGATGGAGAGAAAATAAAAGTTTTTAATTGAAAAAATACAATAAATGTTTTAAAAATATTAAGAGAGTAAGTAGAGTATTATTTATTGCATGCTAAATAATAAAAGATTTATAGACTCAGAATATGCAAAGATTCAAAGAAACACACGTGCATACATAGAGATGTTCCTACATAGAGACTGTACCAAGATACACTCACGAAAATAAAGACCAGAAGTGTGAATGACCTTTGGAATCACCTGCATTAGTGGACTGCTAAGCATCCCTTGAAGTATACTACTACCATCTTTTACACTACTATACACTGAGAGGCTCTGGGTCCATCCTGGGGTCACGAGCATGGATACAGTTGATTTTCAGAAATCTACTTCCTTCTTCAAGAAGAGCACTCTCTGGCCAATATATCATTGGTATGGGCACCATTAGGATGAAAAATCATCATCATGACATCAGGGTAATTTGGCATCAAACAGGGTTCAGCAACTCAGGAAGGTGGGTAGTTAGGAGCAGGGTGGTCTGGCAGCAAGAATTGGAGACCCACTTACTAGGACTGGGATAGGAGATAGGACACCAGTTATTGGGAGGATTGGTGACAACAAGGAAAAACCACAGTTTTGGAGGAACTAAGACACTGGGCAGGGTACCAGGGCAGGTATTTGAATATGAGGAAAACAAGACAGGGATCCATTTGGTAGGACTGGGAGGAAACAATAGCCTAGTTACTCAAACCAGGATTCATTGTCAACAAAAGCAGCAATGTGACTCTAAGCTACCTAACTTGTACAGATCTATATGACTAGATCTATATATCCCCTACCCTAGAAGCATTCCTAAAGTCTAGGGCAGAACTAAGCCTACAGGTTAAGTGGCCAGCTAGATAGCTCCAAAGACAGGGAGTCAAGTCAGTTATTACAGGTAATTTTATCGGTGGGCATCCTTCTAATCTTGGTCACCTGTTGTCTAATAACTGATAATCCTTGAAGATTAGGCATCCTCCAGGTGGGATTTGAATATTACTGTACCTGTGGACATATACACCAGTACACTGAGAACCACAGAAATCATATAAGTAGATACATACTTCAAGTAATGGGCAGTGAGGAGACAGTTTTCACTGTTTTCCATACTGGTCAGGACATACCTGGGGTATTGTGTTCAGTTCTGAGTACTGCATTTGACTGAATAACAACAAATTGACATGCTGGAATTCATTCCAAGGAGAGTAAGCAAGGGCTCTTGAAATTAATGTTCTGTAAGATAGGTTAAAGGAAATGGTGGATGTTTAACTTAGAGAAGAGAACACTGAGATAGGGTATGTCTTCAAAAAGTTTACGTGCTATCAAATAGGAATTAGACATGCTCTGTGTGGTTCCAGGGAACAGAACTAGGGAGGAGAGGTGACAGAGAAGCAACTTTCAGACCATTGCAAGAACTTAATAAATAGACTCAACCAAAAATAAAATTGTATGAGACAGTGAGCTCCCCATAAAAAAGTGTTCAAAATGAAGCTTGACAAAAGGCTACTTGTCTGGTGTGTGATATAAGGAATTCTTGCTTCAGGTAGGGAATTGTACTACCTGACCTATACAATCCCTTCTAACTCTACAGGTTATTGGATGTGAAAGAATACAGCTCAGTGGAAGTCAGAAAGGGTGGGAAAATAGATAATAGGTGAGACAGTGAACACGGGTGTGTGCCAAAGCAGGCGAGGAGTGGAGGAGGTGAGTCATCACCCAAGGAACCATTGGGAGCTAATTGTTTAGCTCTCCTGTAGATACAGTTATGGAAGTTAGAAAAAGTTTTTTTTTTTTAATCCAGCTTCTTTAATTCACTTATTTGTTGTGTCTTTCTTCAATGCAGTACATTTCAGGATTTGGAAATGAGTTTGCCTCAGAGGATCCACGCTGCCCAGGAGCCCTGCCAGAGGGACAGGTACAGAGTATTCAGTGTAGCTGATTTATTATCTCTGCTGGAGAAGGGAGGCTTAATTAACACATGGCCAAAACCTCATATGGGCTTCAGTTAGTCACTAAACCCATTGGGACCCATGTAAGGTTTTCTAAACAGAATTTAAGTTCCTTGAAGGGAGAGACTTTTTCATTTTTGTCTGTGCATTCCCTGTATCTGGAACAGTGCCTGTCACCCAGTAGATTAATAATATTTGTTAATGCGTTGGTTGGGAATGTTTTATCATGTAGGCCATTGGATGTATAATGGGCAAGTGGAGGTTGTCAGGGCCCAACTGCTAATAATTCCATACACTGGACTCAATGTGTGTTTATTAGCATCAGCTAATTACAGGATTTCCCTGTATGTGTGTATGTATGTATGTAGGTATGTGTGTGTGTGTGTGTGTGTGTGTGTGTGTGTGTGTATTGGGGGGAGGAGCATCTCCCCTAAATAAAGAGCTGATCTAATCCAAAACTGTACTCTTCTCTATGGGTATATGGCCTCCTAGGGTCTAGGGGTTCATAAAATCAGTCCTGTACAATCCTGTGCCATCATTTATACATTCATACCTGGGTCTCCCCAAGTTGAATTTGTTATATTTTAGTATGAGTGTTTAATGACTGGAATCACTTTTCTTTTGGAATAGTTTTGTTTATTACTTATTATCTTTTTAAATTTCAGAATAACCCTCAGGTCTGCCCATATAACCTGTATGCTGAGCAGCTCTCGGGATCAGCATTCACTTGCCCCCGAAGCACCAATAAAAGAAGGTACAGAAACCCTGACCACTGCTTCCACTTTGTAGACTAGGAGAACATTCTAGGCTAGAGTCAACATCCTTTTCTCATTCTAGGGCACTACTGGATCAACAAGGCATTTTCAATTGCATACATTTCCAGTCATAAAATAATAGAATCATAAATTCTGGCTGAAAGGACCCTGAAGGACAAATGTGAGCTAAGGCATAGAAAGGGTAAATAATTTGCCCAAGTCCATGATCACAACTCTCAGAGGAGAAAGGGGATGGAGAGTAAAGGAAGCCCTGATTTCAAGAGCTCTTAGGTCTAGAACTTTCAGACAGCACCTAAAGCTAAGCCACAGAGTCTCAGAAAAGTGACATCTCAAAGTAACATCCCTATGTTATTTCAGAAAGACCTCATTATTGCAGGTTTATTTAAAACCCAAAGATTGGTAATGGATGTACCAAGTATAGCTAAAGCAAATGCTTGGTATAGAAGGGAGAGGGTCAATGGGAAACATTACTCCCCCCCACACACACACACACAGAGTTCCCCTGGCCACTTTCCAGTGGCTGATATCCTAGTTGAGACATACAATGACATACCCATTTCTGGGGAATTTCCTAGGGATCCTAAGTATGCAATCATGCTCTCCCTAAATATTAGAAACTCACCTGGGTCTGAGTCACTTTCCGTAAGCAATCAAAACTACTACAAACTCCAAGGGAGCAGAGAACCACTCTTTCTCCTTAATATTTTCTCCCATACCCTTCTCATTACCTGGAAATATCCAAACGGACCATACAAAACAGACCCTTGGACCCAGGTCCCATCCCTTTCAAAAATCTGTTTTTTATCTCAGTATTCAGCCTTTCCAAAGTCCTTGTCCAAGGTCCTGACAACAACGTAACTTTTCCAAACTCCTATGCTTGCCTTTTCCCAAGCCTTAAAGAAGTCAAAAGGCCAGTAAACAAAGGCAGCCCCAGAGTGTTCATGCTTTCAGTGTCTTGGAGTTGAAGGGACTTCAAAGTGCATAGTGCAAAGACCACTGCATCTTAGTTCAAGTCTACCCCACCCCCATTCTGTCATTCATTGTGTGACCTTAGAAAAGTTACTTCTAATTTTGAGCCTCAGTTTCATCATCTTTAAAATGGGGATAATGATACTGACACTATGCCATAGGGTTGGAGGCTTTGAAAACTTTAAAATGTTGTGTCAATGTGAACTATTCTTATCTAGTCTAAATTCCCACCTGTTGCAAGTACCTACCAATACTGAAAGTTATCCATCTTTTTTCTGAAAAGCTCCAGTGATGGAGAACTCATTACCTGTAAAGAGGCAGCTGGTGGTACGGTATAGAGTTGGACCTGGAATAAGGAAGGCTTGATTTCAAATTCAGCCTCAAACATTTACTAGCCATGTGATCCTATGCAAATCACTTAACCTCTTATCTGTCTTCAATTTACTCACCTATAAAATGGGATTAATGATAGTATTTTCCCTCCAGGGTTGTTGTGAGGATCAAATGAGATACTATTTGTAAATTGCTTTGCCAAACTTAAAGCACTATAGAAATGCCAGATATTAGTATCACTTCAGTAGTTGTGAAGAATAGGAAGAGAAGTTCACATTCTTTCTTTTTTTTGTTTTTGTTTTTATTCCTGTTGATGTCACCTTCCTCAGTCACCTCTCTGGTCGTTTCCATATAATGGAAAACACACACACAAAAGTGGATGATCCATTGTTCTGGGTGCATTGGCAAATGCTGAATGTCCAGCTGCTAAGAGTGGTGGATTGCCCATGTGGCCACCATTGCCTTTGGTGCTAAGCAGCAGAGATGGGGCTGGTAGCAGGGTAACTCCACTAATGAGCACTGTGTGGTTGAGTATTGCCTGCCCAGCTGAAAGCAGGTGCTGTAAGGACCAGCAGATGGCTTCCACCCATTGCTGGTTGTCATCTCCACTTACCAGATGCTTCAGCTTTCTGAAGTTATCTAGTATGCCAGCTCTGAGTCTGGACTGTGTTTGCCACGTAATTATTTATCAAGACTATTGGATATCCCAAGGACAGCTACTGCCCCTGCAGCTGAGCATGACACATCCCACTTACCTTTAGAGTGTGAATTTCATGTGCTTTACCTAGGCTTAGGCAGTCCCTGGATCAAGGCAAGATTTTCTTGTCTGTGTCCCTTGAGGATCAGGGTCATATTGTAAGGTTCTGCTGGTCTGTTGCTATATCTATATGTCTATGATGGATGATGGTGGAGGACTAATAAAGCAATCATGTGTTAGCAACACTACTGGCTGGTCAATGGTCTTGAGGCTTGACTTTTTGACCATTTTCTGAGGTATGGTGATTGGTTACTTGACCTTACTTAATACATTGAAGGGAGGAGAGAGAACCAATAGATTTTCCTTGATAACACGGTTTGTGGACATGCAGGTACAATGCTGGTGGGGCTGCATTTGCTCAAGGTGGGAGAGTTTACAGCAATCAAATTTCAGTTTGTGAGGGTCCAGAAGCAAGAGTTGGGATCCTTCCCCTGCCCACCAAGAGCTAAAGTGAATTGTCTTTCCCCTGTCATCATGTAAGCTCCTTGAGAGCAGCAAGATCTTTGCTTTTGTATTTTTATCTTGAGCATATAGCACAGTGCTTGGCATTTAATATGACCAAGCAAAAGGAGGAAGAGGCAGGGAGTGGTTAGGGACTGAGATAGTAGGTAAGAAAGGTTAGAAATGTAGAGGTGACAAGATCCAAGGAGCTGAAACAGTCTGTGGTTAACCTAGAGTTAAAAGAAAACAAGACAGTCAAATAGATTTGAGCTACCCCATCCATTCAAGCCCTATTCTTCTTCCAGAGTTCATATATAGACAGAGTTTTCTGTCTCCCTTTGTCTATGTTCCTCTGTCTCTGTCTCTGTCTCTCTGTGTCTCTGTCTCTTTCTGTATTTCTCTGTGTGTGTCTATTTTTCTCTCTCCCTCCTTCCCTTTCCCTCTTCCTCTCTTTTTCTCCCCTCTGTTTTACTCTCTCCCTCTCTGTCTCTCCTTCCCTCCTCCTCCCCCACCAATTTATCTGCTGAACATATAACTGATTTCATATGGATAAAGAACTCCCAGTGAGAGGATTCCTTCTATCACTTCAAGTTAATGTTTAATCTTAAAGACTTGACTGGGACATTGAGAGGCTAAATAATTTGTCCACAGTCTCAGAACCAGCATGCAGAACTTCTTCCTGACCCTGAGACCATTTCTCTATCCCTCAAGCCAAACTGTCTTTAGATTTTGGGTTTTTAGTGGATATGACATATAGTCAAGACTCTGGTAGGTCTTGTTTATTTGGAAAGGATATGAGCCAACCTAGTTGAGGACCAACCTTGTTGAATTTGCAGAGGCCTGTCATCAAGTTGGCCACGTGGTGATGATTCTTCTGGTCACAGGAACTCTTGAAGGTTGTCTCCTGGACCATCCACTAAGTCACAGAGGGTTTTTCCATCTGCAACAGTAGAGGGAATATTTGCACTAAAAAATCATAGCTCATTGACATTGAAGTCTAGCAGAGTGCCTTACACATTGATAATTGTAATATGAATTGAATTGAATTGAGCTACAACGTAAGGCAAGGCATTGGTCTTGGAATCAAGTGGACCTGGGTTCAAATTCTACCTCAGATGCTTGTTTACTTATTGTTTTACCACAGGCAAATCACTTAATCTCTGTCTCAGTTTCCTCATTTTCAAAATGGAGAGGCTGGACTCAATGGCCCCTAGCATTCCTTCCAACTCAAATTCTATTCCTCTGATGATGAAATTTTATTCTAACCCACCCTCCTTGTTTGTCTAAATGAATTTTAAATGTGGATGCCTCCTATCTGTGGATGTGATTTCCGTTCCCCACAAAGCAAAAAGCTTTGTCTGAGCAAGGCACAAAAAGAAGGGACTTGGGACTCTGAAGATAAACTAAGCTTTCTTCATAAGTGTGCTCAAGGCCAGCTGTGTCTAGTAGTTGTATCTGATTCCAGTCATCACCAAGATGAAGCCATAAATCAAAGGCACAGAGACCAGGCGAATGGCCCAGTCTAAACCAGATACTCTAAGATTGTCCTGAACAGGAACCTTGTTACTGAGCCTTAAGCTATTCCCACTGAAATCCCTTCACCCTCAGTTTGTAGGCTTCTCCAAATATGTCCCTTGATGACACACACACACACACACACACACACACACACACACACACTCTTGGTGTTCTTCATCTTCCCCTACGCCTCCTCCCAAACTGCCCTCGATCTGTGATCCACTGTCAAATCTATGAGACAAATTTAACATCGCTAAGGGCAAGGTCCTTTCTCACTCAGCAGAGTTGGCACAGTAGTAGAGCAGAGACTGACACTCATCTCAGGGCTGTACCCTTCCCATTCTCTGACATACAGTCTGACTCTTTTAGCAACAACATTTACAAAATTTAAACTACAATCTGACTCATGGTCCTCTTGTAAGCCTGGCATACTTCCATCCCTTACAAATCCAGTAGCTGACATAAAATAAGAAATGAGTATGGACAAGAAAGCCTTGCTACAGGTCATTTGGCTGTTTCATGCCTCCTGTTTCTCAAAAGTGCATTAACCTTTTCACTCTTTCCAAATAAGCAGCTTTTTAGAATGTCAGTGTTCTAGCAGAATAATTTATTGAATAAGTAGGTCACATTCAGTATCCTAGGCTTGCTGGGTGAACCAGAAGCACAGAATCATAATAATCATAGCTCACATCTCTTTTTAGTAGTTTAAGCTTTGCAAAACACTTTGCATACATTATCTCATTTGACCCTCTCAACCCCATAAGAGAGCCACTTTCATTATCTCCATTTTACAGGTGAAACTGAAAGAGTTCAAGTGACCTGTCCAAGGTCACACAGATGATAAATGTTCAATGTACAAATTGAACTCAGGTCTTCTTGTCTTCAAATCCACTCTGCCAAAGTTGCCTTATAATCAAAGAATCTCAGAGCAGGAGAGACCTTAAAGTTCATCTAGTCCAA